ATTAGTATGACATCATGTGATAAGTTGAACATTACCAGATGTGAACTACTCACAATAAATAAAAAAGACCTTATATAATACTTGTGAACAATAATTAGAAAAGGACCGGAAGTTGAAGTCGTTCGAGAACCTAAATGCATAATGAATAAAAAGAATGGTAAAGTTAATCGTGAGAAATCAAAGATTATATATGATAAAAAGTTAGTAGTGTATTTGATCAAATAACGTGCGAAGCTCAGATGTTAAAAAACTGAATAAAAGCGGCGACAATGAAAGGACCAGTGAATTTTTGTGGAATAAAGCTGCGAATTATTCTGTGACGAGACATAAAAGGATTGTAAAGATAGTCTTGATGGTGATGTTGTATTTTTGATGGGTTGTTATCATGATGAAATCTGATATCTCTGATAATATTAAAGGTGAATGGAATTAATTGTTTAACTGTTAGGAATAGTGGTAAAGGTTTTAAAGAAAATATAGTTAGTCATAAATGTAATTCTTTTGTTAATAATGGTAATTCGTACTTTGGAGACAAAAGTCAAAAGGAGTAATAATAAAGCGTTTGATCAATCAAAGGTCTGCCAATATGGGTAATACTAATGAAACATATGCTATTGGAAAGTGTTGTCAAATGAACTTGATATCAATAAGAATGAGTGTAAAACATTTATTTGCACCAAAAACCTACCATTCGGGTGAAACATATATTGCTGAACATCGTTATAAAAAAAAGTCAAAGTTGAAAAGATAAAACATTGAACAAGATCTGAAAGTAGTAACTTAAATGGGAAATACGATCTTAAATCCTGTTGTGGCAAACTGTCCCAATTGCTTACTCAAAACAAAATCACATCTCAAGACTTCAACGACAAAAGGACATACAGAAAAAAATTGAAATAATACGAATGTCGATTCCAAAAAACAAGACAGAAAAACAAATAAAACATTAAAAAAAATAAATGTGTCACCAGAAAAAACCTGTAGACCGACGAATAAGCGTGAAAATGTGAAGCTAAAAAAAACATCAAAAGCCAATAATGTCGCTATAAAAGTGAAATCAGAATAAAGAATGGTGATTTAAAAAAACATAATAAACACTAATAAATATGAATGAAGAAATCAGTAAGCGTGAAAATGTGAAAGAGATAGAAAAAGAATTCAAAGTCAGCGAAGTTAGAACAACATCTCGACCTATTTTAGTATTTATAGATCACAGGAACTGACCAATTACAACTTAGCATATGATACAAATTTTATATACTACCTAGTCCCGACAAACAAAAAAAATTACTTTTACTAAAACGCACCTATGGTATTTTACCACCTATATTGTATTATCTCAAAAACTGGCTAATTAATTGATGTGAGGTATTCTAAGTAAAAATGTTCTACACCCCAAAAACCCTTCCCAAACCCTAATTCTAACCTTAATATTTAATGTGAAAAATTGATGTTAAAAATTTTATATACAAAACTTATAAAAACTTAGAAAATTTTAAAAAACATAATAAAAATATATAATAGATGCAAAACCACCATAGGTGCATTTTATAATAATTGAAAACAATAAACAAAAAATCTCTTTATAGAATATTAAAACTATGAAATCTAAACATTTTGATGGTCTTAAATTTTTTTTATACCTATTTTTAATAGAATAGTAGAAAATTAAAGTCAGGCAAGTTTATAATTAAACAAGCAATTTGGCCTCTTAAATATACTATATATTAAACAAGCAAATTTGGCCACTTTATACATGAAATTAATAATTTGGCCATTTTATGTTAAAATTTTAAATTTGGCCGCATCATATATTTTAAATTTGTCAAACACAATTTAATATACATTTTCTTCACTATATATTTTATTTATACTGCATTATAATAAAATTTATTTAAAATATAATATCAGTTGGTTTCGGCATGTTTAATTGTACATGTATTTGTACAATTATGTACAAAATGTACACAAGGAACATGATTAATAAAATTAATTGGAAAGATTTTGGTCCAACGTGACTCTTCAGGCTTTTGGATATGATAAATTGGGCATCCTAATATAGAATCACAATTGTTTGTTGCTTGAAACCAATTAAATAAAAAAATGCCTGGTATTGACCATTATTTGCTTGATGCTAAAAAATAAACTCAATTTTAGTATATGCAATGCCTTCAATCTCTTCAAGTAGTTTCACAAAATCACCAACTTTAAGTTTCACCTGAACTGGATCTTGGTTATTTTCAAGGACAGTATGCGTGATCGAATTATAAAATTCTAACCTTTTGTTCATTAGTGCGGCTTTAGAATTTAAGTAATCGTCATACGCTTTATATAGATCTTGGAAGAATAGATGCTTAACATCTAAATTCTTTAATAGACCTATATTTTTAACTTTACTGTTATTCCATTTACCACTAAGTGAAATATCAATAAAGTTTTTATCATGGCATACTATAGTAATACCTATAAAAAAAATAATTAAATTAAATAATTCAAATACAATCAGACCTCAAAGTCATCTTGATATAATCACTATATATGGGTGCCGAAATTGCAGCTGAAATTAGTCTTATGTAGTACTGAAATTATTTTTCATATTTGCCGAAATTATTGCCGAAATTTTCTAAACTCTTTACATTAAAATACATCATATAATATAGTTATTTCGAAAGGCTTCATATAAAAAATTTAATAATGCCAAAATGTTTACCGAAAATACGATTTTTCAAAAATAATTTCGGCACCCATATATAATAATCACGAAAATTTCTAATTTATTTTACCAAATTAACCTCTGTATAAACACTATATATCATGTTAATCACATTGAATTTTGATTAGCGGAGCAACCAAATTCAGGATTAGAATAGGTTAAGATTGATAAATTTATTCAAAATCACACAAAATTTTACGAATGAAATGGTAGCCCATGTACGTACTAAGTAAAGCTGCCCAGATGATAATTTTGCTGTAGTATAGTTGACTTGTGTTATTCCGGCCTAGCTCTGGACCTATTCCGATCCTAAATTCTGGTCGATCTGTTGAATTTTGTTGCTTCACTAATTTATCCTGATTATATCAGGTCTGACTTTTATAATCTTGTTATATATTAATAAATTCATAAATTCATACTTACCATCACTTCATCTTCAATACTTTGATCGTTCATATAAACCGACTGATTTTTCATAGCATACCAGCTTGACAATATTGTATAAAGGTTTGGGTCTTTTGCAAGATTATTTATTGCATTGATTCTTGTATTAAATTGAGGATCTACCCAACCATCAACAAGATGCCGTAACGCCTATAACATATTGTACCGCCGGGCAAGGTCAAGTTCAATTGCCTTACAATTCATATGAGGTATCATATTTTTAAACATTCGGTATACCATTTCTTTTATGGCAACAGATGTGTTTACTAGTATAGCAAAGTTCCGGGCATGCTGTGAAAGATGTACATTCACGTGAAATTTGGTAAATTGGTGAAGTTGTTAGGAAACAGCTAATACAGTAATATCGATATACAATGATTAATATGTATATAATATTTAATATACGTTAGATTAAATGTATGTGTGTAGTCTGATCAAACACATATATAAACAAGTTAATACTTGTTAATACCTGAATTACAGTTGGTGGTAGAATTCAAAACAGAAACTATTTCCATTTTTGAATTCTACCACCAGATGTACATACGTATATGCGTCTCAGATTTGGATATTAATATTCTATCTAAACCTATTTAAATTAGATTTTGAGAAAGTACAGCTCAAGCAATACTTCAAAATCAGGTTTGAATATGGCCTAATTAAAAAAATATTTAAGTATTATCGACCAACTTGGCTTTCTCCCAGCCTTACTTATTAAATTAAAATAAAAAAATATTCAAACGATAATTTACAATATCAATTGATGGCTGAAATAAACTAGATGAAAGCCAGATAAGTAAAGATTGGAATCTGCTACATAGTTAACTACTGGTTTAGTCAACTAAACATATAAATGGCCTGGTAAGCCGATATGTAATATTTCTATTTAATGCAAATATCATACATAAATTTAGGATACAGTCAGACATCTCTATAGTCACCTCATCCATAGTTACATTTGCTTATAATCACATAAATTTAAGCACAAACTCTATAAGCATCAAATTTTTAAAACCAAGGGTGTGATTATAGAAAGGTTTGACTGTATATATATTATATTTAAATCTATTAAACTTTGCTTACTTCTAACGAAAATTCGCATTCCCTTTTAAATAATTCTTGCAATTCTTGATAGCTATTTGTTGTCATAGAAAGTGAAAACACAAGTTTTAATAGTTTAGCTTCAATTGCCTAGAAAGTGTATAATTTTGATATGCTAGTTATTAGTCGCATTCGCCAATTATTCTTAGTCTCTGCCTTGATATGTTTAAGCTTTAGAAATCTTCGAAGAATAAACAGCATTAGCATTGCAAGCCTCAACACATCAGAGAACATGAAACTTTGACAGTGTCGTAGGGGATTAGGCATTCAATACCAATTGGAAGGTTTTTCTATATCTTTCCAATGTTTTAAAAAAGCATTTTCACCATTTAGATTAAGTATATTAAGCATCGCCTCTAAAAGGGTATGTGCTTTTTCAGCCATAGAATGATACGCATCTTGTGGTGTTTGAATATGCCAGTCCCATTTAAGTATCCTTAATGGTCCCGGCTTAACCAGCCCATACTCAACTGCTAGTCATCCCTTGCCTGCTTTGGAATTCTAGGCTTCAATCTCTATAAATCATTCTTCTGTCTGCTGGTGAAAATAAGCATATCACATAAAATTATCTCTATAGAAAAAAACTTCTACATATATAAACACATTTTCAAAAAAGTTACTATGATCCTGATGGTGTAATTATAGAAAGGTTAGACTGTATAACTAACTAATATATAATTATGATATAATATAACCATAAATAACACATTCCTACGCAAGATGCTTTATTTCAAAACAAAATTCACTTTTTTGGATCATCCAGAGCAACCACAAAAAGTGCTTGTAATGTGACTTTCGAAACAGTTATCTAAAATTCTACGTACATATGTGCTAATGCGAATAAAACCACAATCGTCCATTAAGATGCTAATAAAACCACAATTGTCCATTAAGTAAAAAATAGTTTCAGATCAATTTAACAAACTAATTTTATTGGCGAAGGTCTAATTTCTAGATTCAAAAATTAAATTTTGACCAAATTAGGCTAAATTAGATTAATAGAGGCCAACAACCTAAATTATGTCACAGCACTTTTGGGCCACCCCCGGATAATTCTGTTTTACAGGCAAAGATATGATTTGAAACCAAGCATAAAATTTTCTCAAATAATATAGCTATATATTTAAACGAGAGCAAATAACAATTCAAATTTAAGGACACTGACCTGTAACCTACACGTCGCCAAATAAAGTTTTAATAGCAAAACCATTTTCCAATCGTTTTATTTCTTGAAGTATCAGCTCAATAAAATCATTGAAATTTGCTCCAAATAGAACAAATCTAATTAAGAAATGATTTTTTAGTTGCTTTCAAAAGTCAAATAGCATATTGCCAAGCTGGAGATAACGCCACCCAACGAATGATATATATTTCTGTAAGTACCAAACTCATCAACATAGATATCAAGAAAAACTTTTAAGATAGACAGACATGGTGGTGAGCATGAGGGTAATATTTTCACAAGGTAGTCTATGTCGCATTTTTATATCGTGATACTTCTATTTACCATTGAAACGATACACTATTTCTTTAATATAAAATTCATATTCTGAAGGCACTGGCATATCACATAACCAAACATTGATGCGTCATTTTACATTTGTTAAATTGACCAAATTTGTTTCCCCTTTATTTAGCCATAATTCTTTGCTGTTTCCACGAATATGATGGTTATCAGTAGAACGGATGCTAGGTAGGTTTTCATACGAAAAAATATTATTGACTTTTAATTTAACCGAATCGTTATTAGTTTCGTCAACAATTACACCACATACTCGACAAATAAATATTGATGATTGTTCATGATACATAAAAAATCCCCCGCTCTATAGAACTCTAATAAAACAAAAAATACTTAATTAAAAAATCAAACAAAAGTAAATATGAATATAAAAAATTAAATAAAAGTAAATAAGAATATAAAATAAAAAAAAAATAATAAATACAGTAGGACCTCTCTATAGTCACCCCTTTATAGTTACATTTGCTTATAATCACATAAATTTTTAAAACCAATTTATATAGCACTTATAAAATTTAACTTCTATATAAGTATAAACTCTTTATAAGCACCAAAATTTTAAAACCAAGGGTATGATTATAGAGAGGTTTGACTATATAAAATATAAACCCAAAATAAAATAAAAAATAAATAAAAAATAAAAATAAAAATTATATAAAATGTTAACCTTTGCCACATTTTATTTCATGTTCTCCGAATAATGGAGAGTCCTGCCATAGTTCACCGTGCCAAAATTCACATTTTTCATTTGTAATTACACTGGGGCCAAAATACATTTTTGGCATAAGTACAGAGTTGTTTAGAACATGTTCTAAGTGTGTCAATAGAGAAATGACAAATGCCTTTTTGGTAGTGTTGTAAGTGGATAGAGTTCAGTTTATATGGAGAGGTATATTATTTTGATATATTTTAACTAAAGGTAGCCTATTTCTCCATTTCTGAATTTACAAATGTTTCTGGTAACATCTTTTTTTCTATACTTAGAGTGTGTACATATATATGGTAAATTATTTCACATTGATAGGATAATTTTATTGAACAAAATGCTATTCAGACATGTGATTCAAGACTATTGTGATTTCACAGACATGTATGTCCGTGAAATTATATGATAATCTTGAATCGCATGTCTAAATAGCATTCAAAAGGTACTGTTCAAACCAATTTTTAAAATTTTAACTAGCGTTACTCACAAATCATATGTTTAGTTACCCAAATGAAGATCATCACTGATGTAAAAGTAGAAAAATATGGACCATATTTGCTATTAAACCCTCAAATTCAGTAGTCATATCTTCTAACACTTTGTCTGTAAAATTAGATTCATCACTATCTTCCAGCACATCATCACTATCTTCCAGCCTATCATTTACTAAAACTTCAGTAACATCAAATTCTTCGTTATCTACTGGAACCTCACCATCTAATAAGTCCATACCATAGTCAACCGAAACATCTACATCATCAGCTAATGACCCACCTGAAGATTGGTAATTATTAATATTCTCACAATCAATTATTTTTTGAAGCTTCTTAAAATGAAATTTTTGTGTTAATATTCTATGAACAATTTTAGTTTCTAATA